AAGAGGTAAAGGATCTATACCCTAAAAACTATAGAACACTTCTGAAAGAAATTGAAAGAGTATTGAGCATGAAAAATATTCCATGCTCATGGATTGGCAGAATTAATATTGTGAAAATGTCAAGGTTACCCAGGGCAATTTACACGTTTAATGCAATCCCTATCAAAATACCATGGACTTTCTTCAGAGAGTTAGAACAAATTATTTTAAGATTTGTGTGGAATCAGAAAACTCCCCGAATAGCCGGGGGAATATTAAAAAAGAAAACCATAGCTGGGGGCATCACAATGCCAGATTTCAGGTGGTACTACAAAGCTGTGATCATCAATACAGTGTCGTATTGGCACAAAAACAGACACATAGATCAATGGAACAGAACAGAGAATCCAGAAGTGGACTCTCAACTTCATGGTCTACTAATATTCGATAAAGGAGGAAAGACTATCCACTGGAAGAAAGTCTCTTCAATAAATGGTGCTGGGAAAATTGGACATTCACATGCAGAAGAATGAAACTAGACCACTCTCTTGCACCATACACAAAGATAAACTCAAAATGGATGAAAGATCTAAATGTGAGACAAGATTCCATCAAAATCCTAGAGGAGAACACAGGCAACACCCTTTTTAAACTCGGCCACTGTAACTTCTTTCAAGATACATGCACGAAGGCAAAAGAAACAAAAGCAAAAATGAACTATTGGGACTTCATCCAGATAAGAAGCTTTTGCACAGCAAAGGATACAGTCAACAAAACTAAAAGACAACCTACAGAATGGGAGAAGATATTTGCAAATGACCTATCAGATAAAGGGCTAGTTTCCAAGATCTATAAAGAACTTATTAAACTCAACACCAAAGAAACAAACAATCCAATCATGAAATGGGCAAAAGACATGAACAGAAATCTCACAGAGGAAGACATAGACATGGCCAACACGCACATGAGAAAATGCTCTGCATCACTTGCCATCAGGGAAATACAAATCAAAACCTCAATGAGATACCACCTCACACCACTGAGAATGGGGAAAATTAACAAGACAGGAAACCACAAATGTTGGAGAGGATGGGGAGAAAAGGGAACCCTCTTACACTTGTTGGGAATGTTAATTGGTGCAGCCACTCTGGAAAACTGTGTGGAGGTTCCTCAAAGAGTTAAAAATAGACCTGCCCTACGACCCAGCAATTGCACTGTTGGGCCCAAAGATACAGATTCAATGTAACGCCGGGACACCTGCACCCCGATGTTTCTAGCAGCAATGTCCACAATAGCCAAACTGTGGAAGGAGCCTCAGTGTCCATAGAAAGATGAATGGATAAAGAAGATGTGGGTTATGTATACAATGGAATATTACTCAGCCATTAGAAATGACAAATACCCACCATTTGCTTCAACGTGGATGGAAGTGGAATGTATTATGCTGAGTGAAGTAAGTCAATCGGAGAAGGACAAACATTATATGTTCTCATTCATTTGGGGAATATAAATAATAGTGAAAGGGAATAGAAGGGAAGGGAGAAGAAATGGGTAGGAAATATCAGAAAGGGAGACAGAAGATAAAGACTCCTAACTCTGGGAAACGAACTAGGGGTGGTGGAAGGGGAGGAGAGCGCTAGGTGGGGGTGAATGGGTGACGGGCACTGAGGAGGGCATTTGACGGGATGAGCACTGGGTGTTATTCTGTATGTTGGCAAATTGAACCCCATAAAAAATAAATTTATTATTAAAAAAATTAAACAGAGAATTACCACATGATATAGCAATGCCACTTCTAGGTATATATATCCATTAGACTGACAGTGTTTCAAAGAAGTATCTGTACACTTGTGTTCATAGCAGCATTATTTGCAATAACCAAAATGTGGAAGTAACCTAAGTGCCTATCACCTGATGAAGAGATAAATAAAATGTAGTATATACACACAATGCTGTATTACTCAGCCTTAAAAAAGAAGGAAATTCTGATACATGCTATAACATGCATGAACTTTGAGGATTTTAAGTGAAATAAGCCAGTCACAACAAGACAAATACTGTATGATTCCACATATACGAGTAGGGAAATAGAAAGCAGAATGATGTTTGCCAGAGGTGAATGGTGGGAGGAATGAGAGCTGTTGTTTCACAGGTATACAGCTCCAGTTCTGCAAGATGAAGAGTTCTAGAGTTTGGGTGCACAGCAATATGAATGTACTTAACATTACTGAAGTATACAGCTTAAAAAACGGCTAAGATGATAAATTTTATGTTATTTGGACTTTACCATAATTAAAAATAAAATGAAAACAAAGAGAAAGTAAAGAGCCAAGGATCTTAGTTGTACAGGCTATCATAACGAAATACCAGAGACTGGCTTATATGGTAGACATTTCTTTCCTCACAGTTCTGGAGGCCAGAAGTCCAAGATAAGAGTATTAGGATGCATGGGTTCTGGTGACATTCTTTTCCAGACTTACAGATGGCTTCTTGCTGTGTCCTCACATGGCCTTTGCCTGGTGCCTATGTATTGAGAGAGAGAGACAGAGACAGAGAAAGACCTCTTCCTTTTCTTGTAAGACCATTAATCCTATAGGATTAGTATCCTACCTTTATGACATCACTTAATCTTCATTCCCTTCTAAAAGCTCTATTTCTATATACAGCCACGCTGGGGGTTAGGGATTCAACATAGATTTGTGGGGGGGACACTACTCAATCCATAGCATCAGGTGAACAGAATGAGGATGTGGTTCTAAAGTCAATCCAGAGAAGACAATGAGAAGATGATATGAAGCAGTTAGGAATAGGAGGATATGTTTAAAAAACCAAATGAGGTTTTGCTGTACAATAAAGTCACACAGTAAAATTTTAAATATCGCACCCCCTACTAGATTGTGAACACTGTTTGGAAAGAAAAACATCTGTATAGTTTAAGCTTTAACTATAGCACATATCACTTCCTTGGAACATCTTGGCTGCTCAGTAAAAGGCTGTCAAAAAAGTCAGAGCACCAATAATGTAAAAAACAGAACTAGGAGCTGGTAAGGCCTCTAAAGCCTAAACGTTATTCTGAGAAACTGGGAATTTTATTGTATGGGGTGAGGAGCCAGTGAGGTGATTTAAATAGAGATGAGACATTACCTCACTAGCATTTAGATGAACTACCCATGTGGAAGATGTGCTTGAGTAGGTAAAGAAAGAAGTAGGCAGGTTAGTAAAGAAGCTATTCCAACAGTTCAGGTGTGAGACCATGAGACAGCAGTTTGAGGAATAAAGTAGAGGAATGCATTTAAAATACATTAGGTTTGACAATGTAAAATTGGTGTTATCTTTGACAAATAGGAAAAGTAGCAAGACACAATTACACACTAGATCATGGCAGGAGTTGAGACAGTGAGAACAAGAGAAGCCAGGGATGTACTGCACTTCCATGGCTTGGGTGTCTGGTTGAGCAGGGATATTCTATTTCCCATCGAATAAGGAAAGATGAGGGGAATTAGTTTGGGAAGGACTGTAAATATTAACTTTTACTTTGAAATCAGTTGAGCTGGAGATGCCTTTTAGATAACTGCACAGAGATGTTGAGTCACCTATGTTCAAAAGGGCAATCCCTAGCCATGTGAGACTATTTAAAACTTAAATTAAAAATTTGGTTCCTTAGTCACACTAGCTGCATTTCAAGTATCTAACAGGTATATGTGGCTAGTGGCCATCATTTGGGACAATGCAAATATAGACCATTTCCATCATCATAAAAAGTGCTATTGGTGGGGCACGTGGGTGGCTCAGTTGGCTAAGCATCAAACTCTTGATTTTGGCTCAGGTTGTGAGATCAAGGCCCAAGTAGGGCTCCACACTCAGCCGGGAGTCTGCTTGGATTCTCTCTCCCTCTCTGATTGTCCCTCTCCCTATTCATGCTCTCTCTCAAAAAATAAATAAAATTAACAATAAAAAAAAATGCTATTGGTCACAGTGGGCCGCAGAGTTCTATCTGTGAGAACTAGGAAACACATCATTGCTGAAACTAGATTGGGGATGAAATGAGTCAAGTCAAGTTTGAAAAATAGTGAGAAGGCACGGAAATTGTGATGAGACACATGAAAGGGCAAAAAAAAAAAAAAAAAAAAGATGATTCCATGAAAGAAACAAGAGGCAGGACAGTAGCAGAGGCTGTCACAGACACTAACATGGGAGACCTTCCAGAAGGACAGAGTAGGGGTAGAGTCAGGCACTGCAGACAGGTCTGTGAGGTAAGCACAAGGTGAGACCCACTGGATTTGACTGTAGTTAGGTCACGGATGAGTGCAGGTCACAGGCAGAGGAGAAGAGACTGAAACGTGAAGAGACTGAAACGTGAATGGCCATGTGACAGCATTTGCTAGAGAACAGAACTTTTAAGATCTCTGCTAAACAACGTGTTTGAGTCAGGGACTTGAGAGAAATATTTAAAAAGAGCTATTTTTAGGACATGAACATATGACTTATTCGTGCTGACCTCCAATTAGTTTCAGTATTACCTCTGGATCTAGCAGGATGAACAGAAAAAGGTCTACTTCTAATTTATTTACATTGACAGCTGTATTAACAAAAACCCTGCTTTGGCAACGTGCCCCTTACTTCCACTGAGGAAAAAGTGGAAACAATATTCTACAATTATTTCTGGGTTGTTATTGGAAAGATCTGGACTATCCTCTATCTGAAGACCAACAAAGACACTGTGCCTGACTTTAGGATCATGAGGAACGTCTGATTTAATATTCTTATCAATGCAAATCTTGAAACAAATACTGTCCGACTCTCTTCCATGGCTATCTAAAAGGTCAGGAAGAGATCTGCACCTGCACTGGGGACAATGTGTAACTTCAGAGAGCAGCATCTATCTATAGGCCAACTCTGCTGAACTACTCATCTGCTTTTTTGTACCTTCCCTGAATAGTTTGGATCCATTTCTATTGCTACTTTTCTGTGTTAACTACCTTTAAATTCATTATAAAATAGGTATATATAAATTAACTCACCTGAGATGTGTTCATTTTCTGCTGTTGTTGGGGGAGTACAGAGAACTGTGAAGGATAAGCTGGGGATAAGGAAAGAGGAATGGAATTATAAGAGGTCTGGTGAGCTTCCAGATTCAGTTGCCTAAAAATCTCATCACATCAGCTGGGGAAAGGGCCTCCCTATGGAATAATGTTCTGTTGACATTTGAGAAGGGGCAAGAAGCACCACATAGAGACAGCACTCCTTGAATATGTAATACAGTCTGATGTGATCCTATGGATGTAACCTTGCTGTTTTTCACTGGGTCACTGTAAATTATTTTCCTATTAATTTTATGTCCCCCTCTAATTAACACAAAATTAAAAGGGGGTAATATTAATAACCTATTATTATTTATACCTTGAGTTATAAAATCAACAGAAAACTCTGGGGGGAAAAGATGCTTAGTGCCAAAATATTTTAAAGTAATTTTGTCGGGATCCCTGGGTGGCGCAGCGGTTTAATGCCTGCCTTTGGCCCAGGGTGCGATCCTGGAGACCCGGGATCGAGTGCCACGTCGGGCTCCCGGTGCATGGAGCCTGCTTCTCCCTCTGCCTATGTCTCTGCCTCTCTCTCTCTCTCTGTGACTATCATAAATAAATAAAAATTTAAAAAAAAATTAAAATCATTTTGTCCTTTTGGTAAGATTTTTGATAAGGCACTTCTAGTGACTTATGTGTGACAAAATGAACCACACTTTGCTTTGCTCCTAGCTCTGTCCTGAGTGACTGGGGATATACATCTCAGGCTCCACTTTTTTTTGTTTTTTAAATTTCAAGTCAGAGATAGAAATCCCCTCTGATACTGTCATTTTATAATTCTATGTGTTGATAAAGGAAGCCTCAGCCTATATTTAGATGCCACTTGTGACAGACACAATGTGAAAGTGGCTCAGAATCTGGCAAGAGGGAAAATGAAGAAAATGGGGGGGCTGTTTAAGAAGGACTGGACTAAATTTCCTCAGCCCTGGCTGTGGCTTCTCCCATATGGCCTGATAGTCACCTATCTCTTTCAACCCCAGCTCACTACTTTCTGCAACCTGGTCCAGTTTCCACTGTCACACAGTCTGTAATGGCTTTTGGATGTGGTGACATCATCAAGTCTGGCTCTTTCTGGACAAGGTAATTTAAGAACTGCTTCTGTGGAGCAAATTAGGAACAACTCCTTTCTGGGTTCTTCTGCATCTGTTCTGAAGCTCTGGTGAGGGTGGTTCCTGCCAGATGAGCTCTTCCTCCAGGTGGGACTCCTGTCCCCAGGGCTCCTCTCCTCCCTGCTACACAAGAGCTACTTTTTTCCAGAGGCATGAAGACTTAGGCCTAGGAAACAAATTCCTTTTAAATGAAACTTTCATTGAGAGGAGTTTCTCACCTTCAGCAATGCTGACATTTTGGGCTGTTTAATTGTCATGTGGGGGCTGTATAATGTCTACCAGAATTTCTGGTTTCTATTCACCAGATGCTCTTAGCACTCCTCCTCTGTTGTGACAGCCCAAATCATCTCCAGCCATTTCCAAAAGTCCTCTAGAGAGCAAAATCATCCTGGTTCGGACCCACTGGTAGGGCTTTAAACTTGATTGTCTTCAAATTCATTAGAACTCCTTACCCATTATTGTAGCCACTTGCCACATCCCATTGTTGAGCATTTGAAATGTGGCTAGTGCCACGTGTTGAATAATGTTTTGTATATATTGAGATAAAGAGTACGCTCTTAAAACTAACTTCATGTTTTAGTTTTTAATGTGGCTACATTTAAAATTATATATATGGCTCACTTTATCTATTGGACAGCACTGCAGTACAGTATCAGACTGAGCCTTCAAGACAGAGACAGCCTGAACAGTACAGGAGGTGCCAGGAGGCTGTCTTATCCAGCTCTATATATATACCTGTCACAGAGTAACATTTAGTTAATGTTGACTTTACAGTCATAGTCCTGGGAATATGGGGACAAGTCAACTTTGCTAGTGCTGTGAAGGCTGCAGTGCTGGGTTTCTGGTAGGCAGGATATTAGGAGTAGCTAAATTTGGGAGTAAAGCATATCTGTATTTATATCCTGGCTTCCTTATCTTTTTGACCTCCAGTCTATAATTTCCCTCTTCTGAGTCCATTTTGTCTTTTTATAATTATATGGTTAAAACTATGGAATGAGCCCAGATGTCCATCGACAATAAGTGGATAAAGAGGAAGTGTATAAATACACAATGGAGTATTACTTAGCTATCAGAAAGGATGAAATCTTGCCATTTGCGATGATGTGGCTGGAACTAGAGGGTCTTATGCTAAGAGAGATAAGTCAATCAGAGAAAGACAATTATATGATCTCAGTCATATGTGGAATTTAAGAAACAAAACGGGATCATAGTGGAAGGGAAGAAAAATAAGAGGAAATCAGAGAGGGAAACAAACCATAAGAGACTCTAACTATAGGAAACAAAAGGGTTGCTGGGGAAGGGGGAGGGGAGGGGGTAACTGGGTGACAGGCATTAAGGAGGGTATGTAATGTAATGAGCACTGGGTTGACATGCAACTAATCAATCACTGAACTCTGCCTCTGAAACTAACAATACACTGTGTTAACTAATTGAATTTAAATAAAATAAAATTCAGAAAAATTCTGTGGTTATACCTATAAAGAGTGGTTGTGAAGGTTAAGTTAAATATTAAATAAAAAAAGAGCAAAGTGTCTTCCAAATATGATGGGAGACAACACTACCAGTCGGCTTATACCTTCAACTTACTGTTTAGTAACTCACACTGACAACATGCTTCATAGATGATGACTTATCTCTTTCCAAACAACGCCAGGAAGCAGTTTTTACTAATATCTTTATTTTCAGATGAAAACCTGACTTATACCTGAGTGACAAAGGCGGAATTTACTCGGTCTTTCTGGTTTTGAGGCTCAAGCCCGTGCTTCATGCTAGGTTCACGGTCAACATCCAGGATCCTAAAGGCACACTGCGCACCGCCGCCAGCGAGGCATCTTCCCCTGCCGGCGCAGTCAGCGCCCGGGCTCGGGCTACTGGGAACGTCGTCTCACAGCACTCGCCCCATCCAGGCCCCGGAGCCCGCGGGGAGGGCCCGCCCCGCCCGCCCCTCAACCGCCTCCGCCAGGGCGACGCTCGTATCTGGCTCGGGTACAGGCGGGGTGCTCCCGCCTTGGGGTCAGCTGGGATGCCCCTAGTCGTCCGGGTCCCTTCCTCTGGGAACAAGCCCACCCCACCAGGCGCGCGGAGGACCAGGCACCGGCTCCCCTCTCACCTGAAAGTAATGAGGCCGCGCCCGCAGGGCCAGAGAGGGCGGAAGCCGGGAAGTGAGGAGAACTTCTCACGCGCCGGGAGAAATCCGGGATATCTGTTCCCACAATGCCGCGCGCTGAGCCAGGACCTTCAGAACTACATTTCCCAGGGAGACACCGTGGCTCCTTGCGGATTTCCGGTGTGTTGGGCGGGCTTGGGGCCAGTAGGCAGAGGGTTAGCACCGGGTACGAATATCTTGCGTCGTGGTGCTACCAAAGCCCCAGAGGTTATGGCTTAGACTTTGACAAAATGTCAAATATAGGATGTGTTCATGGATCAGATCCTGGTTGGAGAAAACCAGAAGACATTTGGGAACAACTGGGGAAATTTGTGTATAGATCTGATATTAGAAATATTAAGGGAAGTTATTGTTATTTTTGTTAATTCTGATAACATTGGGATTATGCAGGGAAGATTAATTTTTTAAAATATTTTTTAATTGAAGTTTGATACCGACACATAGTATAACACCCAGTGCTCATCCCATCAAGCGCCCTCCTCAATGCCCAATACCCAGTAACCCCATCACCCCTCCCTCCTCCCCTTCCACTACCCTTTGTTCATTTCCCAGAGTTAGGAGTCTCTCATGGTTTGTCTCCCTCTCTAATTTTTCCCACTCAGTTCCTTTCCTTTCCCCTATAATCCCTTTCACTATTCCTTATATTCCCCGTATGTGAGACCCTATAATGATTGTCCTTCTCTGATTGACTTACTTCACTCAGCATAATACCCTCCAGTTCCATCCGCTCGAAGCAAAGGGTGGGTGCTCGTCCTTTCTGATGGCTGAGGAGTATTTTATGCTATATATAGACCCCATCTTTATCCATTCATCTACTGAAGTACATTGAGGCTCCTTCCACAGTTTGGCTATTTTGGACATTGCTGCTGTGAATATTGGGGAGCAGGTGTCCTGCTGTTTCACTACATCTGCATGTTTGGGATAAATCCCCAGTAGTGTAATTGCTGAGTCACAGAGTAGCTTTATTTTTAACTCTTGGAGGCCCTCAACACTGTTTTCCAGAGTGGTTGCACCAGTTCACAAACCCATCAAGAGTACAAGAGGGTTCACCTTTCTCACATATTCTCCAACATTTGTTTCCTGTCATGTTAACTTTCCCCATTCTCACTAGTGTGAGGTGGTATCTCATTGTGGTTTTGATTTGTATTTCCCTGATGGCAAGTGATGCAGAGCATTTTCTCATGTGTTTCCTGGCTGTATGTATGTCTTCCTCTGTGAAATTTCTGTTCATGTCTTTTGCCCATTTCATGATTGGATTGTTTGTTTCTTGGCTGTTGAGTTTAATAAGTTCTTCATAGGTCTTGGATACTACCCCTTTATATGATATGTCATTTGCAAATATCTTCTCCCATTCTGTAGGTTGTCTTTTAGTTTTGTTGACTTTTTTTTTTTTTGCTGTGCACAAGCTTTTTATCTTGATTAACTCCCAATAATTCATCTATGCTTTTGTTTCCCTTGCCTTCATACATGTATCTTGCAAGAAGTTGCTGTGGCCAAGTTCAAAAGGGTGTTGCCTGTGTTCTCTAGGATTTTGATAGCATCTTGTCCCACATTTAGATCGTTCATCCATTTTGATTATCTTTGTGTCTGGTGTAAGAGAATGGTCTAGTTTCATTCTTCTGCATGTGGTTGTCCAATTTTCCCAGCACCATTGATTGAAGAGACTGTTGTTTTTCCAGTGGTAATCTTTCCTGCTTTGTTGAAAATTAGTTGACCATAGACTTGAGGGCCCATTTCTGGGTTCTCTGTTCTGTTCCATTGATCTATGTGTCTGTTTTTGTGCCAGTACCACACTGCCTTGATGACCACAGCTTTGTAGTACAGCTTGAAATCAGGCATCGTGATGGCCACGCATTGGTTTTCTTTTTCAATATTCCCCTGGCTATTCGGGGTATTTTCTGATTCCACACAAATATCAAGATCAGGGGATCCCTGGGTGGCGCAGCGGTTTGGCGCCTGCCTTTGGCCCAGGGCGTGATCCTGGAGACCCGGGATCGAGTCCCACATCGGGCTCCCAGTGCATGGAGCCTGCTTCTCCCTCTGCCTGTGTCTCTGCCTCTCTCTCTCTCTCTCTGTGACTATCATAAATAATAAAAAAAATATCAAGATCATTTGCTCCAACTCTCAGAAGAAAGTCCATGGTATTTTGCATTAATTGCATTAAATGTGTAAGTTGCCCTGGGTAGCATAGACATGTTCACAATATTAATTCTTCCAATCCATGAGCATGGAATGTTTTTCCATCTCTTTGTGTCTTCCTCAATTTCTTTCAGAAGTGTTCTGTAGTTTTTAGGGTATAGACCTTTGACCTCTTTGGTTAGGTTTATTCCTAGGTATTTTATGATTTTTGGTACAATTGTCAATGGCATTGACTCCTTAATTTCTCTCTCTTCAGTCTCATTGTTAGTGTATAGAAATGCCACTGACTTCTGGGCATTGATTTTGTATCCTGCCACACTGCTGAATTGCTGTAGGAGTTCTAGCAATCTTGGGGGGAGTCTTCTGGGTTTTCTATGTACAGTATCATGTCATAGGCAAAGAGGGAGAGTTTGAATTCTTCTTTGCCAATTTGAATGCCTTTGATTTCTTTTTGTTGTCTGACTGCTGAGCCTAGGACTTCTAGTACTATGTTGAGTAATATTGGTGAGAGTGGACATCCCTGTCTTGTTCCTGATCTTAGGGGAAAGCCTCCCAGTGTTTCTCCATTGAGAATGATATTTGTGGGATCCCTGGGCGGCTCAGCAGTTTGGCGCCTGCCTTTGGCCCAGGGCACGATCCTGGAGTCCCGGGATCGAGTCCCGCATTGGGCTCCTGGCATGGAGCCTGCTTTTCCTTCCTCCTGTGTCTCTGCCTCTCTCTCTCTCTCTCTCTGTGTGTCTATCATGAATAATAAATAAATCTTTTTTTTAATTTTTATTTATTTATGATAGTCACACACACAGAGAGAGAGAGAGAGAGGCAGAGACATAGGCAGAGGGAGAAGCAGGCTCCATGCACCGGGAGCCCGACGTGGGATTCAATCCGGGGTCTCCAGGATCACGCCCTGGGCCAAAGGCAGGCGCTAAACCACTGCGCCACCCGGGGATCCCAATAAATAAATCTTTTAAAAAAAAAGAGAATGATATTTGCTGTGGGCTTTTCGTAGATGGCTTTTAAAATGCTGAGGAATGTTCCCTCTATCCCTACACTCTCAAGAGTTTTGATCAGGAATGGATGCTGTATTTTGTCAAATGCTTTCTCTGCATCTATTGAGAGGATCACATGGTTCTTGTTTTTCTTTTGATGTGATCTATCACGTTGATTATTTTATGAGTGTTGAACCAGCCTTGCATCCCGAGGATAAATCCCACTTGGTCAAGGTGAATAGTCTTCTTAATGTACTATTGGATCCTATTAGCTAGTATCTTGTTGAGAATTTTTGCATCTGTGTTCATCAGGGATATTGGTCTATAATTCTCCTTTTTGGTGGGGGCTTTGGTTTCAGAAACAAGTGGATGGTGGCCTCATAAAATTAGTTTGGAAGTATTCCATCCCTTTCTATCTTTTGGTACAGCTTTAGTAGAATAGGTATGATTTCTTCTTTAAATGTTTGATAGAATTCCCCTGGGACGCCATCTGGCCCTGGACTTTTGTGTCTTGGGAGGTTTTTGATTACTGCTTAAATTTCCTCCCTGGTTATCAGCCTGTTCAGGTTTTCTATTTCTTCCTGCTCCAGTTTTGGTAGTTTGTGGTTTTCCAGAAATGCATCCGTTTCTTCTAGATTGCCTAATTTGTTGGCATATAGCTGCCTATAACCCGTTTTTAAAATCATTTGGATTTCCTTGGTATTGGTTGTGATCTGTCCTGTTTCATTCATGATTGTATTAATTTGAATCTTTTCTCTTTTCTTTTTAATAAGGCTGGCTAATGGTTTATCTATTGTATTAATTCTTACAAAGAACCAACTCCTGGTGTTGATCTGGTCTACAGTTCTTCTGGTCTCTATTTCATTGAGTTCTGCTGGGATCTTTATTATCTCTCTTCTTCTGCTTGGTGTAGGTTTTACTTGCTGTTCTTCCTGCAGTTCCTTTAGGTGCAAGGTTAGTTTGTGTATTTGATTTTTTTCCAGTTTTTTGAGAGAGACTTCCATTGTGATGTATTTCCCTCTTAGGATCACTTTTGGTGTATCCCAAAGATTTTGAACAGTTGTGCTTTCATTTTCATTAGTTTCCATGAGTCTTTTTAATTATTCTCTAATTGCCTGGCTGACCCATTCATCTTTTAGTAAAATGCTCTTTAACCTCCATGTGTTTGAGTTTCTTCCAAACTTCTTGGGATTGAGTTCTAGTTTCAAAGCATCGTGGTCTGAAAATATGCCGGGGACAATCCCAATCTTTTGGTATTTGTTGAGACCTGATTTGTGACCCATTATGTGGTCTATTCTGGAGAAAGTTCCATGTGCACTTGAGAAGAATGTGTATTTGGTTCCTTTCGGATGGAAAGTTCTGTATATATCTGTGAAATCCCTCTGGTCCAGTTTATCATTTAAGGCCCTTGTTTCTTTGGTGATATTGTGCTTAGAAAATCTGTCATTTGCAGAAAGTGCCATGTTGAAGTCTCCTACTGTTAGTGTATTATTTTCTAAGTATCTCTTTACTTTGGTTATGAATTGATTGATATACTTGGCAGCTCCCACATTAGGGGCATAAATATTCATGATTGTTAGGACTTCTTGTTGGATAGACCCTTTAAATATGATATAGTGTCACTCTTCATCTATTACTACAGTTTTGGGGATAAACTTTAATTTATGTAATATGAAGATTACTACCCCAGCTTGCGTTTTTTCCCCCCAGCGTTCTTTTGAATAAAGAAAGACCCATTTTTTCTTTTTCAGGCCAGAGGTGTCCTTATGTCTAAAATAAGTCTCTTGTAGACAGCTAATAGATGGGTCTTGTTTTTTTATCCTGTTGAAACCCTGTGTCTTTGTTGGGATCATTTAACCCATGCATGTTCAGAGTAACTATTGAAAGATGAATTTAGTGT